GAATGGGGCTTTAATATGCTAGATTTTTAAAGTGCTACATGCAGAACTTCACTAAAACAATAGTCCCGACATTTGGGTTTCGCTTTTTTGACTCACCCTGTAGACATTATATTGCATGGTGCGCCTTCAATCGGGCAGACTTTGTGATTTAATTCAATGATAATGAAAGTATACATGAAGTGTCCGCTCATTCACGGAGGAGATCTTCCCTCAGATGTGACGTCAGACTCAGGGAATCTACAATTATGTCATCTCGTCGGCTCATAGCTCCATCCCCACACCACACCACCTCAAGCAAGATGCGGGTGTGGCGGGGTTTGGCAAGGAGGATGGGTGCAGAATTACTTGCAGGCAGAAGCAGAAGACGTTAGGGGTGCGGCCACGTTAAAAAAAAGAAAGAAGTTTTTCAGAAGATCAAGTGCACTTAGGTGACCTTGTAGAAAGTACAAGTGTCCTACAGATAATCCCAGCAGTTTAAACCCAAGGCTTTCCCTCCAGCGATCTCTTTCCCCCCTATTATCCAATTTAGATACTCCCAAAAAGCACCTTTCCGGCAAATCGTGGTGGTAACTCGATCTGATTTTTAATAACAAAAACAGAAACTTTTTGTTACCGAAACCCGAAATATCGAGAGCACTGCACTTAATCCCGGGGCGGGTAAATTCAATATGCCCACCCCGGCTCAGGAATTCTGGAAACGTTATCAAATTTCTAACTAGAGTAAAGGTCTATGTCTGCAACAAGCGGGAGTATTAAAACGAAACCGGTGAGAATCCGAGACCGACGTGATCTGTCTTGAAATGTGGTATAACAATTAGCCTCCCCTGGGGTCAGAGAGGGGTCAAATGGGGTCAGAGGTTAGGACAGGCGCCCCCAGCGATCGGTGGAGCCGAGAGAAAAATCGCGACAATCTAAACACTGGATTTCGTTTTTGGAAGGGCTGATGACAATTAGGGCAACCCAGAGGGATAGCTGCGGACTGTGTTTGTACGTGCATGTTGTGTTTTGAAACAAAGTGTTGAAGAACGAGTTGATCTCGAAATTGAAAAAAAAAATCTTTATCCTTATAGTGTTGCCCGGATCATGAGTGCATGCGTGTCATTCTTGGGTTAATGCCCTCGTCATTAGCTCTATTTTCATAGCGCTTTGTAGGAGGTTTGTAAATACACCGGAGTTGATGGGTGCTATTTTTGCACTGGAATGTCACGTAATTGCTTAGACCCTTGTTATCAAGCACCCTAAATGCGCTATGACCTCTTTACCTTGTATCCATATAAGGGAGAAATGTCTATTTTCTGAAGCTCTGTCAATTTTCTTCTAACATTCCCGTCTAACATAATAATTTGACTATATCTTGTCATAAGCTATTTGCAGTATGGTGCCTCAGCCGTTGCTTCATAGCCTCGTGATTTTGTACAACGATGGTGAACAGCGCCACCACGGTTTCCTAACTGGTATCGACAAAAGAGAAATCATAAGCATAAGCATAGATTGAAAATAAAATGGGTTAATACTGCATATAGGTCTACTCGTCCACCGCAGTTTGCATGAAATCCACCCAGGTGGGACTCGAACTGGCAACCTTAGGATCTATAGAGTCCCAATTTACCGACCGTGTGATAGGTTGATCTAAAAATGAATGACAACTTTATCAAAACAATAAGCAAACATGTATACTTCTCTGATTATTCGATCGCAGAGACGTTTTCATAAAAAAGAAGGTGATTGAGTAAATGAAGCCGTGATCGCCCGATGTGGGGCTCGAACCCACGACCCTGGGATTAAGAGTCCCATGCTCTACCGACTGAGCTAACCGGGCTGAATTTGGTAAAAAGGAATTTCATTTAAAAATGTATAAAGATCTGTTTATGAATACACAAAACAAGGAAAAGAAAAATCCGTGATCGCCCGATGTGGGGCTCGAACCCACGACCCTGGGATTAAGAGTCCCATGCTCTACCGACTGAGCTAACCGGGCTGAATTTAAAAAAAAGGAATTTCATTTAAAAATGTATAAAGATCTGTTTATGAATACACAAAACAAGGAAAAGAAAAATCCGAGATCGCCCGATGTGGGGCTCGAACCCACGACCCTGGGATTAAGAGTCCCATGCTCTACCGACTGAGCTAACCGGGCTGAATTTTGTAAAAAGGAATTTCATTTAAAAATGTATAAAGATCTGTTTATGAATACATGAAAACAAGGAAAAGAAAAATCCGTGATCGCCCGATGTGGGGCTCGAACCCACGACCCTGGGATTAAGAGTCCCATGCTCTACCGACTGAGCTAACCGGGCTGACAAACCAGCCTTACAAGTACACGCAATTATAAAATGGGCAGAGAACTCATCATTGAAAAAGAAAAGAAAAAAAAATCAATAAACAGATTCGAAAAACTTTTTTTCATGTACACAGTTCAACACCAACATTGTTAGAATTAATGTTCGTATGAGATTTATGTTCTCCGACGAAGGCCAAATACAAATTTACTCAGCGAGAAAGTCAAACAAAATCCGATGTTTTTTTTCCCTTTTACAACAGGACAAAATGAGGTTTACACAACCACACACGGAGCTTCCTTCTCCCCACTCCCAACGCGGGTTAAAAAAAGATCTCATGTCTCCCTCACTATCTTGTCTGAGACAGACCGCGCTCATAATCGAAACACCGGAAATGAATCCGTCCCGTGCATGCTGCTTGGAGCCGCCGGCCGGAGCTTTGGGGCGACTCTTGCGGGGGATAGCAGCTCTCTAGGCCCCATCTCTCTCTGGCTCCGGTCTCCGTATACAAACCACAGTTACCCGGACTTTTCTTCTTTGCAAGCCAGCCTTGTGTTTCTTTCGCTTGGCTCTCTTCTTGTCTCCTGGGCTCGTCAATAAGTGAATTTCCTGTGTCTTGGTCCGGACCACCTGCCTCTGCTCCGCTCATCTCCAATCTTCATCGTCATCTTCTCGTCTTCGTTATATCTCCGCCAGGCGAACCGGTTCACCCCTTCCATACCTCTTGCATGCCACACACGCAGACACATACATGGATTCATCATGTCTCCGTCATAAACATTGTACGAAGCTAAATAATTCATATCCAAAACATCAATGATTCCTTTGAAAACTCTCTATTAATTGAAAAAAGACACATATGGAATGCAGAAAAGGGTGACTTTTGACATTTCCAGAGTTCTTGTTGGTTACTCTTTTACATTAAATGATAACGATGGCGAATTTTGTACCAATAATTTGGTACCAATAATTTTGTGCCAATACATTTTTTTTCATCCAAAACGATTTTTTTTTCCAGAAAATCTCTTTACCTACAAAGCAAAATTCAAAATGAATATGTAGAGATAAGCTGGTGGCGCTATTAAACAATTTCTTGGTTTTATTAAATGATAGCTTTCTAAACACCATTTTACGTTGCATCTCCTTACAAATTCTCTATTTAATTCTTGGAAATAATTGATGGATTTGACCTAAAACGTCACTTGTCAACACATCTTGTCAACCCGTTTTGTAACACGAGTCATAATTACAACGCTCACGCTATTTTCACCTGTTCATGTCGAGAACCGATTCGCTGACTCTTCTTTTACGCTTTGCGTCTGAATTGGAACACCGTTTGACAAGAAAAGGCACAATAGGAAACGTTGGGTGTTATGTTTACACGGTAATTCCGGTGTACGGTTTTACACGCCGACAGCATTTATATTCAGGGAAAGCAAAATAAACGTGACATTTGCTTACTAAAGAAACACTCATATCGCCTGATGTGGGGCTCGAACCCACGACCCTGGGATTAAGTGTCCCACGCTCTTCTGACTGAGCTAACCGGGCTGTAACATTACTCCACACATCCCTTAAAAATTCTTAGCGATATTTCTGTGAATAAACAGGAATAGTAAAAATTGTACTTCCCAACTGAAGCCGTGCCATCGCCCGATGTGGGGCTCGAACCCACGACCCTGGGATTAAGAGTCCCATGCTCTACCGACTGAGCTAACCGGGCTGAAAGAATAACTGCGCATCTCCCCTTAAAAGCTCTCAGAGATACTTCTCTGTGAATATACAGGAATTTCAAAAATTTGATTGGAAACCCAACTGAAGTCGTGCCATCGCCCGATGTGGGGCTCGAACCCACGACCCTGGGATTAAGAGTCCCATGCTCTACCGACTGAGCTAACCGGGCTGAAAGAATCACACCGCATATCCCCTTTAAAACTCTCAGAGATATTTCTATGAATAAATACGAATTTTAAAATATAATAGGAAACCCAACTGAAGCCGTGTCATCGCCCGATGTGGGGCTCGAACCCACGACCCTGGGATTAAGAGTCCCATGCTCTACCGACTGAGCTAACCGGGCTGAAAGAATAACTGCGCATCTCCCCTTAAAAGCTCTCAGAGATACTTCTCTGTGAATATACAGGAATTTCAAAAATTTGATTGGAAACCCAACTGAAGCCGTGTCATCGCCCGATGTGGGGCTCGAACCCACGACCCTGGGATTAAGAGTCCCATGCTCTACCGACTGAGCTAACCGGGCTGAAAGAATAACTGCGCATCTCCCCTTAAAAGCTCTCAGAGATACTTCTCTGTGAATATACAGGAATTTCAAAAATTTGATTGGAAACCCAACTGAAGTCGTGCCATCGCCCGATGTGGGGCTCGAACCCACGACACTGGGATTAAGAGTCCCATGCTCTACCGACTGAGCTAACCGGGCTGAAAGAATCACACCGCATATCCCCTTTAAAACTCTCAGAGATATTTCGATGAATAAGTATATATTTATAAATTAATAAACAGGAATTTCAAAAAGTAATAGGAAGCCCAACTGAACCCATGATCGCCCGATGTGGGGCTCTAACCCACGACCCTGGGATTACGAGCCCGCTCTTGCACAAAATAATTCCTTCGCATATTCCGTTTACAAATCTATAATTATAACACAGCACTCGAACTTGCTCGCGGTATCCAATGATTTTCCCCCCTCTAGTTGCAGTAGAATCTCCCAAACATACGTCCCCGTTGGAGTACACGACGTCACAATCCTCAAAACAACATCACCTGCTTTGATTACAAATTGTGAGTTGATAGTTGTTACACTGACGAGCAAAGCCGGATGCTTTTTTGCATTGTCACAGAAAACACTGATCTGCAATTCAACGGAGCGAAGATCAACTCCGTTTTTGTTTCCGTGCAGGGAGCAGGCTGCAAGCACACCGTGTCTCTCTCTCTTCGGGGATAGCTAGGCCGGCTATCGGCGCGTATCCCCGGGCAGTTGATGATCTGACGCCCGGTGGTGTGGACTTGGGGGTTTGGCAGACACTCCATAACTTTATCGCAGACGCTGCTCCGAGTTAGCTTGGCGAGTGAAAGTGTCGATGAGAGGAACAAACTTTCAACAGACGGAGGCATAGCAAGTACATCTTAGAGCTTCGGTTCAATCTAGAGTTGTCACTGTTGCGTTCATGTGTGATTTTACATACGTGTACTACGGAGGAACATCTTGAAACATCCCCAGACTTTGATACAACGGGGGTACGAATCGTACACCAGGCTCCGTTCCGCTTTTATTTTGGGTCATCTCTCCAATTCTTACAATTTTTCTCCACACCGAAGGAACCTCATTCTCTGGAGCACAATTTGGAGCAGGTCATCTCTTCGAAGGCATTGTTACTGATTTTTTTCCGGTCTTTTTTGTTTGTCGGCATTTGGGTCAACTTGGGAGTTCCCGTTCGTTCCAAAGCTCTACACCGGTGGATGTCACGAACCACGTACAAGTGAAACTCTAGAGACAATGAGCAACAGGTAAGATGTAGCTTTCTAGGTATTGCTTGGGACTGACGTACATTGTGTACATTATAATTTCCAATGGCCACAGTGTTTTCTTATGGGCTGTAATATTGTAGAGTGTGTCAAAAATACTTTACACAAACATATCGGTTAAATTGCTCTTAAAGTCAAAATGGAATATTCTGTGATTTTTTTTTTAAACTTACACCGGTACCGAAATAGATTTTTATTGCAATGAATTTCTTTGACCGTACCTGCATGCTGCGGGAAAATAACACGAACTCAGATTGTGCAGAGCAAAATTTTCAACCTTTTTTTGTTTGGCACAGTACTCAACTTAGATGTGACTGAACTATTTTGTATAGGTATAACACATGATTATTTCCAGTTCATGTGTGTAACATACAGTCCATTCAGTACCCCATTCAAGCACACCTGCGGCTCTGAATTGGAACTCTCAATACTGTGTAGAGGAGAGTTAAAACATGCAATACAAAAAAATAGACTGGCACACGAAACAACCAGTCTGACAACCCTTTAGCACTGCATCAATCAACTGTGTCAAAGAAATACTGGTACCTAGTCTCTACTTCTACATATTTTCTCCATAGTCATGCCACCAGACTACTGAATGGTCAATCTTTTTCAAAAAGTTTGACATGTATCAGTCTAGTCTTAGACTTCAAATTGAAATCACTTTGCATCACTCTCAGGTGCAAATTGTTGAAGGCAGATTTCCTTTCAAAATTGAATTGAGACCTCAAACTTGGCTGGTGAAATACTGAGGACCTTGTTTTTGCCTCATGACAATTGTGGAGTATTTTTTGGACTACAGAAAGTTGGCCTGATTTTGTTTTGCCTTTTTGTTGTGCATTCAAGGTCCTCGTCTGCTGCTGCCCCATGTACGAATTCCTCTGACTTTTTGTATCTCAAGAATTCAAATAAATTTGTCCATATACGAAAAATCAGGTCCCCATTTATGACAATTTTAAGACGATCACAGCGGACGCATCTGTGTAGCTGGCAAATTTACTAATCATCAGAAATTCAGCAGTGCGTGAATTTCAACAACTGAGACTTCAAAAGACATATGAAAGGGGAAAAGTTCATGTTGCCACAGAACTATATTGAACATGAAGGTTAAATGCACTTGATGTTTTGGTTGCTAGTGTGAAGTATCATTCGAAGTTGTCATCCAAAGTTCAACGATTTTTACTCCATACGCGTTCAGTGTCGCTCGAAGGTCAAAACTTGATTCGGATGAAGTACATAATGTTGTAACCAAGGATTGAACGCAAAGTTGGGGCATCACATGGTACGTCTGCAGTAAATTATGATACTCGTAAAAGTGGACCTTGAACTTTACAGAGTTACACTTTGAAGAGTCGAAAGTGAAGGCGTAAATCGTGGTCATATGCTGATTTTCTTTCCATGTCGTTGTTGATTGTCGTCACAAAAATATTTGGCAAGATGAAAAGATCGAGCTCCATGCAGGTGCCATGCAGACGACCTAGAAATCCTAAAGTTTGCTGACGACCGTTGCTTGTGTAGGCCTACCATAATACGACACAGTTGACTGATTTTTTCCCAATTAACTTTGATTTGACCCCGTTTCACTGCGACAATGTCGAGTTCGAAATGTCATTCTTTGAAGTAAAGCGAAATAAATCAAATCTATATTTCCAGGTATGTACAAATTAAAAACAGGATTTTACTGAAACCTTTAAATGTCATTACAGCTGTGTTAAGATGAGAATTGAAAATACTACATTGTTCTTGTTTGCATCTGGACCTGTAGAATACTGTGCAAACACCTTGATAGGATATCCCGCACAGGGATATCCTATATTTGTACATTATTATGTGTTACTTTTTGTGTGTAAATATTCATCAATCTTTATCTATTGTGTACGTTACTATAGTAATATTCCGATGGGAGTTGTTTATCAATTTCATCTGAACATTGATTTTATCTATGGCCTTGTTTCAAGGCGCGTAGAATTTTCCTCAACCAACGTCTCTACATTAGCCTTCAGTTTTCTCATCACTACAACTTAAACACGTCTCCTGACCCCCTCTGTCGCCCCAGAATAATCGAGTCTGCCCTTCGGCTGTGACAAACCACAGTCAATGGTATCTGCACCATTTTGTGAGAAAAAAAATCGTTGCTCCCTATAAAGCAATGCCCAAGCCAACAACAATAAAACCAATGGCTCTTCACACGATAAAACACCCTCATCTCATTTCATTAACTTCCAAAATGCGACTTCTAAAGAGACATCCCCAGCCACATCTATGTGGAGCATCTCCCTCAACCCCTTCCCAGTCCTTCCAAGTCGATGATTCAACACCTCCGGCAGACAAGCCGTAGGTTATCCATCTCATAACAATGTCCTCTCGCGTCAACTCTCGTTTATTAATTACAAATCTCCTCCCTATTCACCGCTGCTTTCCAAGGGTGCCTTCACACGGCCTAGGAACAGCTGATGTTTTTCTATATTCCTTCCTGTATCTCATCCTGGCATTTATTGCCTGGTGGTGGTAGGCCTATAGTATGCCATTGATTTCTAAGTATATCCCCCCCCCGTTCTACAATGAAGGATGTCGTAGAGTTGTTAGTGGGCCGTCCTTCGCACGCGTCGCGCCGTCCTGGCGGGCCGTCCTGGTGGGCCCGTTCGCCACGCACTCTGGGGCAGTCACGGCGGAGTCAGCAGCACTCTTGCTGTACTAATAATCAGACATCCTTTTCCCCAAATTCCCATCCACAGTCTGTTCACTTTTCCCCAAAAACCTAATAGACCTTATTCATGAGGGAGCCATTTTTGATCGTGTTCCCTGAATGTATTTTATAAATTGTAAACTGATGAATCGGATGGTGCCAGACTATTTATAGCGTTCCAAGCCTCACTTTCATTTTTTTTTTAATGTGGCTTTCAACATTAGGGTATGTTCAATCAAATTTTTTTAAAATTATTCATCAGTGCAGACTGATGTTAATTTGTAATTAACTTTATTTCATAGCTTTCATTTCTATTCGCAAGTTCCAGAAATGAAGAGTTGACCTCGCTTTCAATTTAATATGACCGACACGTGAATAAGGCCCCTCATTCTATTTGCAACACAGTGGCGTAGCCAGGAATTTTTCAGTGGGGAAGGGGGGGGGGGGGGGGGGGGGGGGGGGGGGGGGGGGGGGGGGGGTGGGGGGGGTGGGGGGGGGGGGGGGCGGGGGGGGGGGGGGCTGGAACATTTCATTGGGGGCGTCATGTAGATCAATGATAATTTTTTAGAAACTCAAAATCTGTCGCCTGTCGCCCCCCCCACGCCCCCCCCCCCGTGGCTATGCCACTGTTGCAACAGTATAGTCTGGCCCAAGACAGTATTTTCATCTTACTCCCTTAAAACAGCCGGTCAAATGCGGCCTAACCCACCGTGTGAGTATAGGTCACTATCAATTTGGATCAAATTTTCACCGTGTTGGGAACTTTGGCAACGCTACCCAGAAGTTCCGAGCATATGCCTCGCGCGCGCTGTATTCAAACGATAAATGTACGCGCTTGAGTCATGCTTGGAAACTCTTTAACTGATGTGAACTTCTAGATCCAGCATCAACTTTCGTTCGTGTTTCACCCGCTTTGCTCGTGACGTCACAGTCAAAACTCGTATACATCAGCGGCTGTTTCATGTGGCACACTCAGTTGACACAATTCCAAAAACGGGCTGCTTGTTTAAACAGCAAAAAATCACGTTGACCTATATAAGTTCTTCAGTAAACAGTTTGTTTGTCCCGTGCTGAACCCACGAATAAAACATCAGGTCTGCACATTGCCAACACAGCACCACAACTTTCAATGAACTTTGACTCAGCCCGTAGAAAAAAAATTGGATAAATAGAAGCTATTGATAATATTGTTTGCGTTTTATCCTGAATTGTTTGTGCATTATAACAAGTGTATGTAGACAGGGCACCGAGGTCCCACATTGGTAGGCTGCACGTGGGGACGTATACCATTTTGGGATCTGTAATCATCCACCATGCAGTCGACGCGGTAATTGTTTCATGTGCTTCGTTATTAAGGTAGTTACCCGTGCATGTAGTCATACTAAAATACATGTAAAATTGATTTCGCGTGTTACGTTTAGTAAAGGCCATAACGCCAGACAGGTTTTTAGTCAAGGTTTTAGCAGCCATATTTCACTATACTCGGAAGTTGGAAACGGAACATTTCTTGTATTTTCTCGTATTCTCGTTGTGAAGCAACAAATGCGTGGCTTGTTTTGTGCCAAAAGTATTGAATTAAGGAAACTTGCTGGTAGGCCTATATTTACTTGTCTTGCTAATTGTTCCCTTATCTTTACAGCATGCATACTCCGTTGCCGGAACGAACCATTCTGAACGAGGGGTGCGAGGATGAAGTGGTAAGTACACTGCAACCCACCCACCCCCACCCCCAACCCCCAAATAAAAAAGTGACAGTGATACAGGGTGAGTCAGATTGATCTGGACCCAAATTGAAGAAAATACATCTGTAGCAATTATCAAATCTTTATGTTATAGGCTGGTATTTAGGACGTAATTTGGTGAAAGCGCTAGCAAAGAACACACGCTAAAACACTCTGACCACGGTTTAATGGTTCAACAAATTGATTGAAATCGCGTACTGATGTGAAGTAGTTGTAAAAAATAAAAACTAGTTATGGTGACTGACTCGCTTGAAGTTAAAATAACATGTGCAGACTGGAAAATGAGCCACTTCCATGAAAATGGCATAACTCCTCACCACAGCCACTAATTTGAAAAATTCAAAATTCATGTGGAAGACAAGGTAATAACCATTCGTATGAAACACTCAGTTTGCTCTCAACTGTATTTCACACAAACAAAATGGTGAACCTTGGTCCAGATCCGATTCCGACTCTCCCCGTAGTTACATTGTACTCAAATAATCAACATGGAATTTGCCTTGACTTGACCCCTTTAAACCCACACTTCTGTCTGGACGTTTTTGAGATTTTGTCTGTATTTGAGTCTTCAGTGGGGCATGGCCCCACCCCCCCCGATCCGCCCCTAAATAATAGTGGTTGCTCTTTTCCCATGTGCCCATAGAACCATCACACTAAAGCGTTGGTTTTCATGTTCCAGGTGTGAACACCTTGATAACCCTGATTAGAACCACACCAAAGAAATGTCGTACGCATCCAACTTAATTATCCAAAATGCGAAAGCTAATTAAGAAGACTATACACACTGTACAAAATGATGGACGTAGAAGAATCGGTACCGCTACTAGGCTGTCTGATCGGTGTGAATCAATGTCTGATTAATTACTTCACTGTGAAATTCCCTCTGGGCGTATTTTTGATTACACCTGCGCCTTTGCGTAATGCTGCAAATGCTCATTAAGACCAACATGACCGACTTGTTATGCAGAAGATCCTAACGGCTGCTCATCATTGAAGCAAACTGGAAAGAAATGTGAATCACAATCCTGACCTGTGTAACTGTTCGTTTGTAAATAAGACTTTTGCCCCAAGATCGAGGCCGAGACGGGGTTATTGAGTCGAAACCTTGAAATTGTCGAGACCTACGGAAATCGGTCTCGAGACCGGTCTTGATACCGAGACCTGCCTCGAGACCTACATCACTGACTCCCTTAAAAGTCCCTGGTCATATTCGACCCGGAATCCGAGTCAAATTTGATCAGATTCTTTTCAGGGTCAAAATAGTACCACGTCTCTGAATCGTTGTCCGTGTCATTTGGACCTGGAAGCCCTGGCAACATTTTCATTTTGACCCTGAAAAGTATATAAGGTCATCGAATCTGACCCGGGACTATTTAATATACATAGTCAGGGAGAAGAGTTGACATACTTTTTCTGATTTCATGAATTTTGAAGAATCCCATTCGAAATCTGGAATTGCTGATGTTTTACCGTAAAGGTGTTTTTACATCTAAAAGTTTATAAAGCACAAAAGAAATGAGTATTTAAACTTTAAAGGGTTGCCTTTAGGCAAATACAAACATATTATATATCCTATACACTCTAGAAAGTCCAGGTCAACATGCCACTTTCCAGGTCAAATGACACTCTTTCAGGTCAAAATGACACTTTTCCGGGTCAACATGACACTTTTCCGGGTCAAAATGACACTTTCCGGGTCAAAATGGCACTTGGCGGGTCAGAATGACAATTCTCTTGATCATTTTCCAAGTCATTTTGACCCGAAAAAGTATCAAATGACCCGGACTTTTTAGAGTGTACTTTGCTCGAGGGCTCTCGGCGGCCCTCAGCAAATCCTCTGCCAATTATTTCATGGATTTTTCTTTTCCCCCAACCCTATCCCTGATGTTGTTATTACTGTTAAATTATAAACCCACGTCATGTACTCGTTTGCATTATTATACCAAACTATAGCCCCACAAACTTCCATCTCAAAATTTAGATATCTTGACACAGATCTGTATTCAACTAACAATCGTTTCCTTTTTAACAGAGTAGATTTTTTTTTGTAGTGCTGAGTTTGATATAACTCCCCTCTGTTATGTGAATTATTCTCTCCCCCATCGCAACAGGAGTGTTACGGTCTCAAGCGAGACACACCCCGTACGATCCTATGCTACATCCTGGGCGTTCTCACGGCGGGCGTCTTTCTGGCCGCTATGTACTGGAAACCTAACTGGGCGGCCAAGTTCATGTACCGGCAGTCGCGATTGGACCGAGCCGACACGGTGCTCCTCAAAGTAAGCGCGTCTTCGATTGGTGGAAAGTTCCGTGACGTCACTATCACAGTGGCTCGTGGCTGGCTGAGCAATAGGTTCAGTAGAGTCGACATGCACTCATGAATATGCATGGTCATTATTTGTATCTTGTTATACGTTCATAACAAATGCCCTGTGCTTTGAATTTTTTTGGAACATGAAAACATAGTAGACACTCATGCGCTAAAACAAAAGCGATACAAGCAATCAATGTGAATCATCATTTATAACAGAAATCGACAAGAAATCATCATCAATTTAAATATTTTAATTCAAACTATATTCCATAATTATACATGTAATTATTTTGAAGGAAAAACTTGAATTTGTGCCGTCCTGAGTGCGAATAATTGGGTTTTTTTTCTTTGGGTTGGAAATATCAGCAGCACGCAAAGACTCGTATATTTATCGATGACCAGCTAAAAGTTAGAATAATTTTTTTCTTGTCCATTTTTGGTATTATTCATTGTAGGATATGTACAAGCAGTGGTTTCTGGTCAAAGTAAGGATCTCCAAGGACAAACTCCCAAAGTAAGTCTGCACTGATTTTCCCGAACAACTCCAACAGTAGAATAAAATGTGACCTTCCATGAACATTTCTACTTTATTTTAGGGTTATTTAATCTTGCGGGTTATTGCAAAATTCAGTTAAAATTGGTCGATGCTCAAAATACAATAAGAATGATTCAACATGGCAACACTTTGTATATCCGGAATGAAATATATTTTTTGAAGGCAACGAAATGTCACTTAAGTGCCTAATTTCTCAGTCAGTATTCTTTTGTGGTTCTAATAATATTCCGATCAGGGTGACCGTTTTAGCCGATTTTCGGCTAACTTTGACATAATTTTTGTTAAAAAACGAGTTTGACCAAAAATTTGGCAGAATGGATTTTTTTGGCAGATATCTGGCAGAATTCTGCAAAAATGGTTGTTTGACAACACAAACAGCAAATTTGAACAAAAAAGTGTACATTTGTTTAAAAAAACTTCAATCCTCAGCAAACTCTTGCATAATATGGACAGGTTGGCTGGTCTTGGGTGCTGAGGTTCACTGGGAAACGGACTTCGTCGTGGCCGGATCCGGCTTTTGCCCAAAATTTACCAATAATTTCACAACATCTTTATGTGACTAGATTGTTTATTATGTAATTTGAATCTTAATTAAAGCAATACTACCAATCTGCATGTGATTTTAAGTGTTTATAGTGTATTTCGAGTAATTCTGGGAAATTTTGCAGATTTTTGATAAATCTGACAGATTTTTGATGTGCATTTAGCAGAATTTGGCTCTGACCTTTCGGTCACCTTGATTCCGATATTTAGGGAGAAGAGAAAGAAGAAGGGCTACCAAAAGCAAGGCGACGATTTCAACGGGAACACGGCAAACGAGGTAATTGTAATAGATCATGACATTTCGCACGTGTATCATTCCCAAACACCTGTCGAATTGTAATTAGATTTATTGGATAAAAACAAAACCAAATTTGATTAAAAACAAGAACTCTTGCTTTGAAACTCGCCGTGAAGAGCTTTATTATATCAAGTGTGGAAATCAAAACTAAACGTTCAGGCTTAGAATTATGTTCTCTTTATATACCAAATGGATTTTTTTCCACCCCATGCAGACTCCAGGAATGCGCTACATCAGATTCCAAAAGTTGAAGTACATCTGGGATGCAGAAGGGTTCAACTTTTATAAATTGAGGTAACATTATGACCTTGCCTCAAAGACTAATTATTTTCCTCATTTTGTTCCCATCACCGTCATCGTTGCATTTTTGCGTCGGTACTCTGATCGGTAGCGGTTTCGTACCGTTTTATATTTGACATTTGTTGTGTATTTTAAATCCTTATTTTGGTGGCTTCGAAAGATTTCATGTATTTTTAAGAATTTGTTGTGAATGAGGATGCATTGTTGTCGATTTTGCTTTAAGATGCAGGACTGCTGAATGGTCAGAATATTATGTCAGTTTGGGGTCTTTCTTGTCTGAAGATGTTCCACTTTTTTTAACATGTAGCGATTTTTCATGTTACATTCAAGGGGTCTTGAAACCGGAGTGTCCTGTAATGAAATCTACGAGACTTTCAAAGGATTCACGGCTGATGAACAGAAATCCAGGTGTGTTTTAGAAAATTCCTTTTCTCGAAAACAGGCAAAGTTGGTGAGTAAGTTTCCAATGTTACTCCAAATTTGCTTCGTGTATTAGAAATATTCAACTTTTCAACTTGCACATAGGGTTGATCTCTGGTGATAGATTGTTGACATACATGCTGTCTGAAATACTGAATGTATCAAGATGCTGTTTAAAATCCTGTTAAAATTGGATTGTAATTTTCATCGGTAAATGATACATTTTCAAAATACTTTTCTCCGTCCAGGAGAGACATTTACGGTGGGAACGAGATCGACATAGCGTTGAGGCCGCTGATTGTACTGTTCTTCCAAGAGGTAGGCCACGCATAGTAAAAATTGCGATTTGAAAACTTAAGAATTTTATTGCAGGTTGATGCATCTAGCGTGGTAAATCAGTGCGCAGTGGTCAAAGACCCTGCCTATAGGTCCGCACTGACTGACTCCCAGTTACCCCTGAACCACTGAATGGGCTCGCGCGTGGCTTTCAAACGCTTTCCGCCTAAATACACGCGCACTAAACAAGTAGGCCCCGAGCGCTCCATTTCAGCATCGATTAGGGGATTGTTACCCTCACTTCGCCTCGGAGGATAGGGGGACCTGGGTGGAGGTTCTGATACGGGAGTTCTATTCAGGGGAGGGGGTAAGGAGGCAGAAATGATGCAAATCGGAATCTCGGTGTGCGGATTTGCCCCGGGGGGAATCTAATGCAGGAACTGGCCAGGCTTTACGTCATAAATGTGTATCTACGAGAAGTGAGACTTCATTCGCTAACAGACCTCATGCGTGGCGGCCATCTTTGAGGCATAGATTCAGTAACACTGAAAGCAGTGTCCTCTTAAGATGGCTGTTGTAGGAGTTATATATAGGCAGAGACACGCTATCCATTGTGAATCTCAAAAGGACCCAATCAATTAATTTTAACTCGCATAAAAATGTTGATAGGAACCTTGAACGAGACTTTACATCAATTCAGGGCATGTCCTCGTTTAGCGATGGACCTGTGTAGATTCAAACAATTCACAACAAAGGGTGTTGGGTCTTCAATTCCGAAATTGCCGTCGTGAAATAATGAGCAAAACTTTAGGCACAGTCGAAATATTTTGAGGGTTCTTACGCCGAATCACCACCAGAAATAAAACAGCCTCGAAATGTTTTGTTCATATCCATGGTGCTTTTCCAATTAATTTTTCGAAATATCAAAAGTCATTCATTTATCCTGGTTCCTGACGTTACCAAGAGGGCGCATCTTAGTTGGAACCGTTGGCAGCAACACCGTTGGTCATATTTTGATATGATACTTTCCTGGGTCAAATTGACGCTTGTGCCAAGGTTTCCAGGCCAAAATGACGCGGAAAATGATCCAGAGAGGGGTCACCTTGACCCTGAAAAGTGTCTTTTGACCCTGGGAAATGTATCAGGTCAAATTCCACCCGGATCCCGGATCAAATCTGACGCCGAAGTTTTTTTTAGAGTGAAGGTGCATCTTAATTGAAACTGTCGGCAACATGGCAGCATTCTGAAAACCCTTAGCGGAAGAAAGAAGAACCTACCAGTATTTTTTCCAGTCTGAGAATTCCAAAATCTCATTTGTTTCACACTAAACCTTAGTATACCTTTATTTTCTGCCCTTGCTTTGGTTCCAGGCCCTGAACCCGTTCTACGTGTTCCAAATCTACAGTGTGTGTCTCTGGATCTTCGGTTACAACTACGTCTACTTCTCATTGGCCATAGTGCTCATGTCTCTCATCTCCATCACGCTGACGGTGTACAGTACCCGCAAGGTAAGTAGGAAAACAATGATGCAGATTATGTTACCTAAGCGAGGAGGTACTAAGCGAGAAAAAATTAAACAGCCTATATATAGTAACATTATCAACTCCTAAGCAATTAACGGTTTTTAAAAACCTTTTTCGAAACCCTATGCTGACATTTTCAAAGAGCTCTAAACTGGCACAGCATTTTGATGAAGATTGGCCTGACAAAATGACGTAACAATTCCAAAACATTTAAAATATTTTCTGCTATCGATTCTCCGATTTCTCTATCTCAATTTTGAAATGTTCTTAGCCTGTTGTTCTTGCACTACTACCCAGTTCGTTTATAACGCGTCTGCGGTTGACACCGTACTTCAATATCATGGTCCTTCCCTTTTCCTCTGGTTTACTAAGAATGAGTTTTGTTGTTAACTTATTATGATGTTACACATTGGAATACAGATTTTTAATTTAGAGGTACACAATGAGAAATCAAACCCGTGCATTTGTTTTTTCAACATTTGATAAATGTAACTCCTGTTTTCAGCAAAGTGTGACCCTGCGACGAATGGTCAAGTCCACTGGCACAACCACCGTATGGAGAGGAGACCGACGTAAGTTCCGCACAAGACGATATTCATTTGAAATGTTTGATCTCACTATAGCATTACCTAAAAGATTTCTCCGAGGTGGTTTTTCGAGGTTGGCTCTATCCTACCCAATTCAAAAAACAACCCCCGTCATTTGGAACAACAGTACGTTGCTGATCTGGCCATTGACATGATTTTCATGGTAATGTATAGTCACCGAGCCGTCAAATTATAAATTCCAAGAAATAAGTAATTTGGCAAAATGTTTTTTTTTTCGCAATCATTGTTCAAATCTCCGAAGCGACACCACGTGCGGTGAAATACCTGCAAGCTCAAATCTGCCGTGCGTACCGGAAACCAAGGGTCGACAGTTCACACCCCCCTAAAGCAGATTCTCAGAATTCAGATATTAATTTTAGACCACCAATCTTCACAATCTTAGGCAAGGATTAAAAGAATAGCCCATATGACACCGTGACACACATTGAAGTGTTAATGTGTCATCCATTGAGCGAATTCCACGAAACTACAATGATCACCCCAGCCAAGTCATGGAATGATAAATCTTCTTGGGTGATTCCTGGGGTGTGGCGGGTGGGGGGGGGGGGGGGGGGGGGGTGGAGTGGAGGGGGAGGGGTGTCCTCTTGACTTAGTTGATATTGGAGTTTTTTAATTAACAGATATCCTCTATCTGCTTCGAAGAACTGGGTCCCTTCAACACAATTTTTTTCGTACTGTCGTTTGATTCTATCGGAACGGTTTTGGAGAGGCATGCGAATGAGCAAATAATCATGTGAAAGCCGAAGAGAATCAAAGAAATATCCGATAGAGTACCGAAGAGTGACGTCAGCTATACCTTTGTTCTGGTTCACGCGCACAAGTGTGTAAACACCTTCACTCGTGGACCCCTATTGTCCCTCTTTTGTTTGTACTATAACTTTTTGGAAGACCTCTCTTATGTTTTGTACACGATCGCCAATTGTGGACCGTCGGTCAATCGTGGACCCTATTGTCCTCTATTGTTCAACGTCCGCAATTTGAATGAGTAAACAAGTACGCTGGTTCTCGCGCTGATATTTTCTTAACCAGAATACGTGGCACGCCTCGGTGCTCTATAGACTTAGTAACGTATGACTCTACATGCACCCATGATGTAACCATACATGAATTTGTACAGCCCATGCACGGTATACAAACCAAAATTGTAATTTGTCATGAATATGAGTATATTTTACTACGAAAAAACACTTGTCCTCGTTCCAATCCAAATCCTTTGTCACCTGAATTCTTATTCATTATCCTCATTCACACTGTATCATGTTCATGGCACTGAGCATACTTAATACCACAAAAAAAATCCATGATTTCATGATGTCACAATTTCGCGTCACATCGACATCTTTAGCCATCCAACCCGATAAATCATTCCTGAACACAATCTGATGATAATTTTATTCCGAACTGCTCATTTTTTCCCCTCACTTTTTGTCACCACCACCCGTACCCATTCATGATTTCGCCCCATGTCTGCCACCACAGTACTAAGAGTGATTTATATGTAAATTCTCTTTGGGCCGAGGTTTTGCCGTCTGGTGATATGAAGCAGGTGTGAATCCTCGCCGCGGTTATAATGAATTTCCCCCTCGTCATTGGACCGCCAGTGGAGGCCCCATTTTTTAATAACCCCGCAGTCTTAGAATTAACGCACTTTCCTTTCAATGTACATCCGTGTAGCTAATTACAACAGCGTTTTAATTGCATCATCCCAATTATAATGTTTTATTGTATTTATTGAAATATACACAGGGTACTAATTTCCTCTTAAATCCTATATACCAAGGTGTACCATATTTCTGGAAATGGCTTGATAAAGTTCATATTTTGACCGGAAATTAAAGTGCTTTGTGTATGGCAGTAGCTGTCATGAACTCTTTGATTAAATCGTGAAGGTCAAAGCGGATTAATAGAACAAACAGAGAGAGACCTATTAAAGATTTACCTGACTCTTTCTGAGTCAGGCTGACTGTGATCAGAGGTTCTTGGTGAAACAGACTACGTAACTCTCTTGAAATTGTACAAGTCTTTTCCAAGGTATGCTTGATTCGTTCCGAGTCAAGAACCTTTTCTACAGGCAAAAAAAGCTGAAGCTACCTTGGCTAAATATTTCAAAATTTGTGCCTCACAGAAAGATCATTGCCAGGATTGAAACATCAGACCGTCTATAGCTTGTTTCAAAATTGTTTGAACACTCTGCCGAGTCATCTTTCTGACTCAGCTAGGGTCATGCTGACTCTCAAGCGGGTTTTGCATATACTTTGTGTCATCCTACATCTGGTCATTGTATATAACATGCATTCACTGGATCCAATGACATACTGACCAGGTATAATATACATTTAATTTTACAGATTTTGAGGAGATTGGTATCAAGGATCTGGTTCCGGGCGATCTGATCGAGCTCCCGACCAGAGGCTGCATGATGAACTGCGATGCCGTTTTGATCAGCGGGAACTGTATCGTTAACGAAAGCATGTTAACTGGTGCGTGTTTCTTTCTAACCTTGCTGACAAACAAAGTTGTAGTGACAATATTGACTTTGGTATGAGACTATAGATTGTATCTTTTAAACAACTGCAAGATCACTTATGCCCGGTAAGATCAATCACAATTAGTTGATGGCTTGCTATAAGATTTCTTCATTGCATCATCAAATTGTTTCCCTTCTTAAGTCTTACAATAGGTGAAGATCAAGTTCCTAGACACAATGATACATAAAATCCTCTTGTCAGGCCATGTGTGTCGTCTCATGTAGATTACTTGTGAAATTCGTTGACCTATATTTCAACTCGGCAAAAGTGGGTCATAAGTTCGCACTTCACTTCGCGCCGTCATTATTGGCGTCAGTCAAGTCTAGCTGCACTCCATCTTCCCCCTCTCAATCCTTTCATAAAAATTCCCCTCAATATCTCCATAATATCTTCCTGTTTTTCTTTGATCTGTTCTTGAGGAATCTGTGTCAGGGTATTGAATCAAATCCGCATCAATCCGCCGTCACATGGTCGATGCGTGTTCGCACCTTTGAAGACTCGCGCGGGTCGATTTCTCGTAAAAATTACGCCCGCCGACGCGGGCGCCTGACCTTTCCTGACGTCATCGACGCCTCGTTGAATCGCTTGGGTTTGTCGTTGGTAACCGCGTACGGTAACGCTCCGTGAAACTGCGCAGGGAGCCAGTGACAATGGCAGGAAGCGATGTATGGAGGCGCCACACCTCAAGGTCGGATTTCACAAGCCTCTATACCGACGCAATGTTCCATTTTCTAACGAAGTCCAAAAATTAATATTGGCAGTTTTCCCTACTTTTGTTATTTAGATTTCGATTTTTGTGGCGGGTGTCACGTTTACGCTAAAGAGCTTAAGAGTTTCTCCCTGGCAAGGACAAACATGCAGTTCTTAAGAAAAGTTTCAGGAACTGAAAATAAACCCAAAAACCATAATATTTCTTCTATATATTATATGTCCGTAATATTTCTTTGCAGTTATAGTCGCACACATCTTGGTAAGACAAGCGTTAGGCCCTACATACAAATTTGCAATTCATCAATATTTTTAGAACAAACAAGAGCGTAAATCACCACTTCGATGCTAATACGATTGAATTTGTGATAAGTAGCCGTGCTAGTCAGGCAGATACTAGATAGTGTACATATAATTATTAAGCACCTTTATGACATACAGGTTTAAAGTTTCGTAACATACAAGATTTACCTTTTCGGTCGCTAAAGTGCTAAACACTGTACATATCTATTGTGGCCGATCGATTTTGCTTACTTTACGCGTGACGTATCAACATTTGTTACTTTCTGTGGAAATTAATCACGTTCTCGGAAACACACAGAAATGCATTGCACTTCGTCGTAATATTACGAGTACGGCGCGTCGTAGCGTTCAGCGGTCTCCCGCAGCTAGCATCACGGGGAAACAACGTCGCTTTCCCCCTGCTCTCCCCGTTGGCTGGATGACGCGCTGAATTGTGTTGGAATCACCGTTCATCAAAACCACACGCCTGATTAGAGCCGCACCGCCGGGCGAGGTGTGAGTGGGATTTTGTCATCCTCCAAGGTTGCGGGCCGGGGGGAAAAACCAAGGGGGGAAGGAACAAGAAGGGGCAGGTGTTTCCAGACCAACAGGGGGAAAGCCTTCATCACCGGTACGACAAGGAAAGCCGGTGATTACAATCTGAGGGGGAATCGATACAGGACTGTAATGCCTCTTCTTAATAGGACTCGGGAGCCTTCAAGAGACCGTCCCGTCGGCTCTGAAACCGCTGCTGAGACCATGAGAAGGAATTGGACAGAGGAGAGAAGAAGGAGGGGTAAATCGGGGTCGAACGGAGTACAATTCGATAGAATTATTCCTCATCTTTTGTCCGCAATGAAAATTTCATTTCTGTCGGCGATGCTTTCTTTTTTTAAGAGTATCGATCTCCGATCGAATCTAGCTCGGCGTGTGAGATGTATATTGTAACATAAGCCAAAACATTTGGAATTGTTCATCTTTATTTTGCTAGTAATCTGATCTGTTTGTTTGTTTGGTTGGTTTTTGTTTGGTTGGCTGGTTGTTTACTCCAACTTTAAGAAGACCTGAACTATATAAGTTTGGTATGATTTTAGTAGTGGTGCATTTTAGTATGAGATTTCTATTTGGGCACATGATCTTTCATGCTTTAAGTCGTTGTATCCTTCTTTATGGAAACCCGATCTTTTTTTATGAGTTGTTGACGGATGCCAGATTTGGGACCGATCATTTGGGTTGTCCAATATCTGTAAACCACCTTTATATTGCGCCTGGGCTTCTGATCGTTGTATAAAGTGGAGTTCGTTGTAACATCATATGAAACTGTCACGAAAAGAGTATGCAGTGCACACCTTCCCGATGCATCGCTGATTAAAAATTGCCTGGGTTAATCTTACCAAAGAAAGGGTGAAAACTGGAACTACCCAAACTTGGGTTGTTCTATAACCAATTGTTTGGGTTAGAATTTCTGCTAAATTCAACCAAAACTTGTGGTCATTCAAGACCAAATTTAATTTGGCCTTGTATGACTACAAGTTTTGGTAGAATTTAGCAAAAATTATAACCCAAACAATTGGTTATAGAACAACCCAAGATTGGGTAATTCTAGTTTTCACCATTTCTTTGATAAAATTAACCCAGGTAATTTTTCAGTGATTGACATCAGCATGACACGTTTTCACAGATAGTCAAATAGCTCTGCCAATTCATTCATTTCTGAAACCAATTTTTTTACATCACGTTCCACAAAATCAGGCATCATCCAAACTATAACAGGGGCAGATCTAACTTTCAGGAAACAGGGGGGGGGGGGGGGTTGATGATATGAAAAGGGGTAGGGTTGAATGAAGGCGCCCTGCTAGAGGGTACGGGGTATGCCCCGGAATATTTTTTAAATCTATAGTGCTTCCTCCTTGATTCTAAGCCTTTTTTAGCATTTTTTATAGGAACTTAAGCATTTCAGTTATTATTTCGGGCCCCATTTACAAGTACCATAACATTAGTCAGCTGCTGAACGGGGGTGGGGTGGGGATGGGGGTGGGGGTGGAGGAGTTGCAACCCCGGGCCCGTTACCCCCTCTAGATCTGCTACTGTACAACAGACAAGATCGTGAATTCTACTCTCTGAACGCCACAGCAGCACCAAACACTCAGCAGTCAAAATACGCAATGCATATAGGGGTGCAACCCTGCAAAAAAAAATCACATAGACACTAGTGCTAAATAGGCATACTTCAAAATTCTTTTAAAAATACTCAGAACTCTCACAGGTATTAAAGCTGCACACAAATATGATGATCAATGTGTCATCTTTCATTTTCTTTTCATATTTTGGTCGGTTGACCATTGACTTTTCGAGATATTCTCACCCAAAGAAGACGACCCCTATTTTCCCCAAAGCGGAAAAGTAGCCATCTTGAAAAACGATCCCTCCACAACATGGCAAAAAAACCGCCACTTTCGAGCCCAATAGCATCCAAAATGCTCAGAATTGGTACCCCAAGTCCGGGCCAGAGGTTCATTACCATATCTCTTCAATTCCCCAATTTTATGGCTCTCAAAACTCTCTAATATAGAATATTTTGAGGGTATAACTTTTATTCGTGAGCTCGGCGGACGGATTTTTGGCCTATTTACAGGTGTGCACTCAGAGTTAGTTTGGCGCCCATTTTGTACCGACGATGGCGGGAAAGAGTTCGCCGGTATTTCAAAGTGCAAAGGGATATTAGCAGCATTCTCCCGGCACCTTGAAACAGACGCGGGCAATTTCCGAAACTATCTCCGTTTAGCCCACGTGCGAGTGCATTTGCAAAATCGAGCCGTTCCTCAGCACAAAATCGACGAAAATATCCTTTTCATCGAATCACGGAATGACCTCTGGGTATCGCTATAATTACAATGCCCCAAACGATTGCGTTTTCATTTTAATATCCGAAATGGATATAAAGTGATCGTCAAAACCAATTGAATGAATTGCCTCACCAAAATACCCAGTGATTTTGTTTTGTGTCGCGTATCAAGTGATTACTAATGGTGCTGCCCTACCCACCTGCCAAGATAAAGAGAGGACGAAACAGAACTCAAATAGAATGAATAAAAAGTTTTGTTAACTTTATCTGACGATAGGATTAAAGACGATACCTGAAATCTTGCTATTAACGTCCAGGATACTGGACTTTTTTAGGCTAACATTTTATCAAAATTTCTATTTTTGTGTGATTCTTGATTGTGTTACGTGTCGGCTCTTTAGAAAATTGAAAAGGAAAAGCCTACTTTTGAAATGAAAAACATATATTATACATGTAATATACATTTTCTTTGAAACTCGTGACTCCGAATTATGCTTGTCTTAAGTGCGCAAACCGTATGGTACACACACTGAAAAATTGCCTGAGTTAATTTTACCAAAGAAAGGGTAAAAACTGGAACTACCCAAACTTGGGTTGTTCTATAACCAATTGTTTGGGTTAGAACTTCTTCTAAATCCAACCAAAACTTGTGGTCATTCAAGACCAAATTGAATTAGGTCTTTTAATTTGGTCTTGTATATATGACTACAACTTGGTTGAATTTAACATAAATTATAACCCAAACAATTGGTTATAGAACAACCCAAGTTTGGGTAGTTCCAGTTTTCACCCTTTCTTTGGTAAAATTAACCCAGGCAATTTTTCAGTGCATGTGTATTATTTAGTGACTGAACAAGGTTACAGAAAAAAAAAAATTCCCTCTTTTTTCTTCAAGAATAGGTCTGAAAACTAACATGCTTGGGGGGGGGGTGCAAAATCTTAAATGACCAGATTGGCAGACACAGGGAAAGAACCATCGCACATCTGCTGATCCCATTTTTAATGATTTATTTTTCATTATTTTGAACATCAGGGGAGTCGGTTCCAATCACCAAGACCCCACTCCCGTGTCCGCCAGTCGGGGAGAACGAGCAGCCCCCGATGTACTCCCCTGACAACCAGAAGAGACACACGCTGTTCTGCGGCACGGAGATACTGCAGGGCCGATCGGCCGACAAGCAGCCTATCCTTGCGGTAGTCGTACGAACAGGTATACTTACATTTTTGACAGGAAATCGAATAATTTTTTTTTTAAGTTTAGTTTTTTTTTTTTAAGCCCACACTCTTAAAGCTCCTGAGTCAGATTGACCCGGAAATCTGAATCCAAATTTGCTCAGTCCTTCTTTTTCGGGTCAAAAATGACACATTTTTCTTTGTCAAAAGTGACATTGTACAAAGTTATTGTGACCCAGAAAAGTGTCATTTTTGACCCGGAAAATAGGATTGAGCAAATTTGGGTTCAGATGCCGGGTCAATCTGACCCAGGGGTTTTTAGAGTGCAAAGTTAATATGCTCTGTGAGTCGCGGCTGGCGCTAGACCTACTGAAGTGATGAATTCGTATTCTTGAAACTGAGCATGCGTGGTTATTAATGCTGCTATATCCATCTCAATTCGAAAACCCGAGTGCACGTTTGAAACAAAACGAGCACTTTACAACCTGATGCCCTCAACCATTATTTCAGGGGAGCTTTGAAACCTGATAGAGCAGGCACCAAAGTTCAATACCGTTTTAAATACAACTTGAAATTCTCATCCAATATAGATTTCACCTGGTGATATTTTGGTTGCTCACTCTAAAAAGCCCCGGGACAGACTTGACCCAGCATCCAGGTCACAATGGACCCGGCTCAAATAACACTTTCCTGTGTCAAATTGACACTTTTGCCAAGACTTCCGTGTCAGATTGAGCTGGATGATCGATCAAGAGAAGTGTGGTTTGGACCCGGGAAAGTGTAATTTTGACCCTGAAAAAAACATCAGGTCAAGAATTACCCGGATTCCGGGTCAATTCTGACCCGGGACTTTGTATTGAGTGTGTATAACTGTGGTCAAGACCTTGCAATTATGAAAGGTTCATGGAACCAGAGAATAAATCGTAAGTGCGCACACTTTCTCTCGCAGTGGTTCGCATAATACCTACCTGTTCTATTTGGTACAGGGTTTACAACAGCGAAGGGGTCGTTGGTAAGATCCATCCTCTTCCCAAAACCCATCGACTTCAAGCTGCACAGAGACGCTATCAGATTCATCTGCATTCTGGCCTCCATCGGTAAGATAAGATTCGAATCTTCGAATGCAGTTTAACAACTGTTAATTCTCTGCCCTCCTTTTTATGCGTGCATAACTCTCTCATGTCAATGATGATAAGGCAAAGATGCCTGATATTTGTTTTGTTGGGGTGGAGGTGCATGCACTTTGAATCTTAACCCCTCCTCCTATATGACAAGCCACTTCGGTCGAAGAACTCGTCGTCAGATCGGTACCCCAAGCTGCCTCAGAAGTTAACCGATCAGGTCCTTTGTAATATGTTTTCACCAAAATACATTGTGTTATTAGATGCTTCATATAAATTTCAGAAAGGTTTGTTGTGATTCGGCAGGAGCCCCACCAAGCTGAGAGCTCTAGTATATTTCTGGGTCGATAGCGGTCGTAATCTCAGTGCAATTTACTAACATCTGTTCTTCAGTACTTCGAGTATTAAAGTCTCGACTCTTAACCAGCTTCCCTTCTGTGCTGGAGCGCTTTCATAAACGAATGCAGGTCTCAACATCTACCGGGTGATAAAAACACAATCTCTGCGAAACGTCGGAGGTGTATATGACGTCACTATCCAGGTGTTCTACTTTTGCCGGCTCATTAATCAAACATATTCATTAAATCTTTGTTTTTCAGCGTTCGTTGGTGCGACTTACGTCATCGCCATCAAGGTTTCTCACCATGTAAGTTATACCGCTGTACACATCTTTGTCAATCAAACTTGATTAAAAGTAAATTTTTATCCTGAAGTCTCTCAAAGCGTCAACATTTTTTTTTGGTATCATGATGGTGGCACCTAACACATTCAATATTTTCCCATATGCAAAGATTACTGGGGAGAAAAATGTAAGATGTGACAGGCGTAAGAACTCCGTGTTCAAAAATTTCATCATCTTTCATTTTCTGTTCAATTTTCTGGGGGTTAACCAATCACGTTTGGGAGAAAATTCCATCCCAAGATGATCAACCCTAAAAGTAGTCCTGAAGCCAATCGCCAAAAATGATGCCTGCGCTCCATTCCAAAATATAGCAATTTTAGGGCCCGATTTCCATATGAATTTCACAGGCATACGAGCTCGCACTCCTGATCACGGTTTCCACCCTTTCTCTTTTACAAACCCTCAAGTTCATGGCTCACAACATGCACCAAAAGCAAAACAATTGAGGGCATGCACATCGTGATTTGGCCGGTGTGGACAATTTCGGGCATATTTACTGCCCTGCAAGCTTCAGTTCCTCTCAGTGGTTCACCAAAACTCTCCCCATGTAACCATTGAGGGGGTACTTGTGCACGGAGTCTATTTGTTGTCAAGCTGGAGTGGTTTTGTTAACATCTTCCAGGCCAAGACGCACGACATCATCCTGAAGGCTCTAGACGTCTTCACGATCGCCGTGCCCCCGGCCCTGCCTGCCGCCCTAACCATCGGCATGGTGTACGCCCAGAGACGGCTCAAGAACCTCAAGATCTTTTGCATCAGTCCTCAGAGAATCAACCTGGCTGGCATGCTGGATGTCATCTGCTTCGATAAGGTAACCCGCACATCGGTTAGAGCAACAGTTCGGGGGAGGACCGTGGTTGATTCGTAACGTAACTCACGCCTGCGCACAAATAGTAACGTCCGAATGCTAATTGTCAAACACGGGTCAAAATGCCATCACGAAACTTCTTGATCCCGTGGCTCCCTGTTGTGCATCATGATGCGCGCGGCTATTGATAACCAGCGGTGCAACTATGTCCAAGGCTCCGGTTCCGAATAGTCGGCTGGAGTCCAACCAACCTGCGTTCGAGTGAAGTTGGTCGAACTGTGGTTAACCGTATTCCCCCGCTCGAACTCACTCAATGCTGTCCATAGACTCGTCAGAATCCACTGAGATGTTTGTACCATTATACAGGAGATTGAGAAACGTAGGGCTCAGCTACTCTTGCTTTCCATGGGACTTGATGCCCGTTGGAGTTCGAATACAAAGAAGGTGGCATTGGATTCCTTTACAGTGGTGATTTGAGAGGTTACCGAAGGTTCCCATCAAAATGCATGGAGAATTTGGGGTTGATTGTGTTCGCTTATAATGTCAGTATATTAATAACTGACTTTGGTCAATTGGACTCGTGACGATCGCCAGTTTGTACCATTTTATTTGTTTCTATGGTAAAGTGAAGAGTTTAAGCTACAATTAAACTGGATTTCTACGCCTCTCCGTTAAGTAATTGTTAGTTCTGTTGCTCTCTTTCAGACAGGTACCTTAACGGAAGATCACCTGGAACTGCTCGCCGTGTCACCTGTGAAGAAGGATAGGTACAAGACTTGATTGTACATTATCTAAACAAAAATTGGTATGAAAGGCACTACCATATAAGTAAGGCCTAATCACTGCAACTGTGTTTTTGGATTTCCTCCACAGTTTCGTCATGGTGTCAGATCCGTCGAAGATTCCTTTTAGCCCGTTCGTGGCTGCCATGGCCACCTGTCACTCTCTGACATTGATTGATGGGGAGCTCAGGGGGGACCCCTTGGATCTTCAGATGTTCCAGTCCATCAAATGGGTGAACAATTATTTTTTTCATTTGTGGTTCCGGAGATGTTGCAGAGGAAATTCGAACACCCCTTTGTATATTAAGTCCCGACTCTCGACCTGAAATCCGCGTCTGGTTTGACCTGACACTTGTCCGGGTCAAAATGAAACTCCCCTGAGTCGTTTTATAGGGCCAAAGTCCCGGAAAAGTGACATTTTGACACGGAAATTGTCGTTTTTGGCAGAGAAATGAGAAATTTTACACAAAAAATATCATTAAGACCCAGATCAATGTCAGGTCAAATCTGACCCGTATTCCGGGTCGACCCAGGACTTTTTTAAAGAGTGTATAGAATCGTTTTATTGCTTCAAATACTTTGCTCATTGTGTCGCTGTATTATCCAGCTCAGCTGCAATTTTTATGTAAAATCGGTAAATGTTCAGCACGATCTAAAAGCAGTAACAGTTTTTCTTAACATTTCATTTTGTAGTCTGTTACAGAGGGTAAATTTATACATATCTATCCAAAAAAATTCAAACTGATTAATTTACAATTGTCACTTATAGAATTTGAACGAACCGAAGGACGGAGAACGGGGAAGCTTTGATTTCTTCATGCCGACGATTGTCAGCTCATCTGAAGGCGAAACGGTAAGAAGTCTGAATAGGCCTACAATTTCTGTTGGTTCTTCAAACAAAGTTTGTCCGCATATAGAGCACCGTACAAATTTGTGCCACCGAAACTCTAATAACTACCGAAATACCCTTATTTTATTTACTAAAATGTTAGTCAGCATTTTTTTTCATTGGAATTCTTGCAAAAAAATACCTTTATGGTAATCCATCACTGCCTTTTTGGGTGTTATGAGCGTCCGTCCTTTTCAGTCATACTTAATTAAATTTACTTTTTCCCCCACATTTCAGAAGGAGGAGGTCGGAATCCTTAAGCAGTTTCCATTCTCCTCCGGTCTCCAGCGGATGAGTGTCATCGCCAAGACGGCCAGCGCGGACAACTACAGCATCTTCGTCAAGGGCGCGCCCGAGACCGTTGCGCTCATGTGCGAACCATCCTCAGGTAGTTCATCCAAACTCGCTGCTATCTACTGTTGCCATAATATGAAAGCCAGGCTGAATTTAACTTCGGCTTAGAGATGAGGCATTAGCATTTGATATGATTTCCATTGTTTCGGAGCGAATTATTCCTCTGAAGTGGTTTAGGTTTAAGGGTAGTCCTTTATCCCAGGAATGTTAAGAATAAGGGTTCTAGGTTGATGCCCCTTGGTTCGTTTATGATTGAGACATGTTGATTTGAAGTTTACAATTTTGAGGTTTAAATTTGAAACAAAATCAAACAAGTCCTAAGAATCAAACGATGCGATCCAAACGTTCGGCATTGCTGCCAGTTGATTCCATTTGAAACAACATTATTTATCGATTTACCCCAATAGGCAGTTTCAAGCTTTAAATATCAAACTTCTTTGTTGGATAATTGAAATTAAAAGGCTTGGTTTTGATGTAGTTTGTATGCACGTGATATTAAAGTTGACTCAATCTCTTAAATTCCAGTTCCTGGAGATTTCGAAGAGGTCCTGAAGGACTACACCCAACAAGGATTGCGTGTTCTTGCCATCGCCAGTCGCGAACTGGATGAAAAGCAAAACTACTACTCAGCTCAGAAGTTGCAAAGGTGAGATTGATTATATTTGGATGTTATTATAAAAAATCGAGACAATTTCGTTGGGAAATGAATTTTACAATACCAATGTCGAACTTTAACCTTTGAACTTTGGCATATATGATATCATTGGTCCAATCAGTTAGCAGTTGCAAATGAGCAATTTCTTTGGCGGGAAATATGATTTCAATTGGAATGCAATGTTCTTTTGATCTGTCTTAAACTTTGACCCGTGAACTTTGAACTTTGACCCGTTCAGGCACGAGGTCGAGAGCGATCTTCAGATGCTGGGGCTGATTATCATGCAGAACACGCTGAAGCCGCAGACGGCTCCCGTGATCGCCAAACTGAAAAAGGCCGACCTCAGGGTTGTCATGGTGACAGGTGAGGCCTTTTCTGGTGATAAAAATTGATAAGAAATAAAGGGCAATCGAATAAAAGGATTTCCCCTTCTATACGAGGCTCCTCCCGAAAGTGCTCGAAAAAGACAATGTAGTTATGTATTATGCTTGCATTATTTTTGTGATCCTGTTCAAAAGTTATCAAGGTAGCAATGCAAACAACATGATTTTGATTATTTTTCGTCGTCAGGCGACAACAAACTGACCGCCATTCACATGGCGAAGAAATGCGGCATGATCGGACCGACCGAAGCCGTCATCGAAGTGGAGGCAACGCCCCCTGTCGGCGAACAACAGCCAACCGTCAAGTGGACGCCGGTCGAGGCTCACTCGCACCACGCCAACAACAGCACCAAGAAGAACTGCCGGCGGGAAAATGGACAGGTACATCACAGACTTGAAAGAAGAATGCAAACAGGGCTGCGGTTATCTAATCTGGAAAAGTTGATGTAATGCTGGAACATCATAACGTGTGGTTAGCTTTTGAAGCTGAAAAATGGGGTCCCATTTTTGTTCATTGATTAATAATTGTTTGAACACTGCTGCGCCATAAGTTGCATTCTGATTTACAAAGTGTGCAAATTAGGGAGATTTACTGTGTCGACGATACAATCCAATAATTGGAAGTTTGTTTCTTCTCGAAGGACGAAGACAGCACTGTTTTAATTTACACGTTATATGGGCCGGTGTTATATAAAATATGGACTCCTATGAAATCTGGTCCCTTTACCTTATATGGACTGCCAGCCTCACATGCATCAGCGACGTCTCATTGTTCTGATGCACGATACAGTCAATGAGTGTGTATTTCATAGGAGTCAAAACTCAAAACCACAGCGGAAAGACTGATCGGTGAGTGCAGTTTTGTTGCAGTAATGCACAAGTTTGACGTTCCCACCAGGCCCGATGTGCCTGAATCTGGTGTTGACCCGGCTGAGCTCACACTGCGTTTAAAACTGTAGTGTGAGAACAATACTATGCGGTATCTTGAGTAACATTGAAACAGATACTTCACTGCAGCTTTTGTATTGCTTTTATTGTACAGGGTGAGCAAAAAAACAAAAAAAACCCAACGAAACCCAAATGTCGGGAATATTGTTTGCATGAAGTTTTGCATGTAGTACTTTCAAAATCTAGGACATGAAAAGCCCAATTCATAAGCTTTCTTTATGTACAAGAATAATTCAAATCACTTATGTACTTTTCAAGTTACGGAGTTTTAAACACAACCACCGTTTTTAGGTTCTGTCCACGGATCGTAAAAAAGTTCAGTGTTCTTTCAGCAAAACGAAAACAAATCACATAAGGATGTGTGTGAATTGTTTTCGTTTTGCTGAAAGAACGCACACCTTTTTTGTGATCCGTGGACAGAACTTTAAAACGGTGGTTGTGTTTAAAACTCCGTAACTTGACAAGTACATAAGTGATTCGAATGATTCCTGTACTAAAAGAAAGCTTATGAATTGGGTCTTCATATCCTAGATTTTGAAAGTGCTACAGTCAGAACTTTACTAAAACAATGGTCCCGACATTCGGGTTTCAGGTTTTTTGACTCACCCTGTACACTGCAGTTTTTGTATTGCTTTCATTGTAGTTTGGTATTAAACTCTAGTGTTTTTTTGTATCAGATTCCAGACGAGGTCCAGTTGACGTTTTCAGGTGCCGAGACGGCCATTGATATCAACTCGTACCACTTTGCTATGGACGGCAAGACATTTGCAATCATGGTGGAACACTTTCCAGAACTCATGCCTAAGGTGATTTAACTTTCAAACATGAGCTTGGAGCTTTGGGGATTTTCTTTTGGTAACAAATGTGACCGATCCTGCTTACTTGTTTCAGAGGAGTTTCAACATGGCTTTGATTGCAGATAATTCAAGCTTAACACTGATAATGTGCGTCACATAGTTTGGTAAACTATACCAAAATTGTTATTATGAAGTGTGCTGTTTAAAAACATGGCAGAAAAGACAAAGTAGGTTTTTGTGCTCATTACTATGTGCATTTTAATACTAATTTGTACTATTTTTGGGTTGTTTGTTTCAGATAGCCGCACGGGGCACAGTGTTCGCTCGTATGTCGCCGGACCAGAAGGCACAACTTATCGAGGCGATTCAAGATCTAGAGTAAGTTTTTGTTTCTGTTCAGACGAAATGCGCAAAGATGAAGAGAAACTGGATGTGTAAATTATTGATAATCAAAACAATTATACCGAATAGCGACGATTCACTTTCCACGGAAGCCAATTTGATTTGTATTAATGAACTCAATTTTGCAAAGAAAAATGAATGCAATCTTGATAAATGAAATTTGACATCAGAAAGTTGACATTAATTGGTAAGGGATCCAACTCTTTGAAATCCTGTCGCAGTAATTGACATTATTGTCGTTGTCACCGATGTCAATGTCCTTGTCATTCCAACAGCTTACACGTAGGTATGTGCGGCGACGGTGCCAATGACTGCGGGGCGCTCAAGACCGCTCACACGGGCATCTCCCTGTCCGAGGCCGAGGCGTCAGTCGCCTCGCCCTTCACCTCACAGCTTCAGAACATCGAGTGTGTGCCACTCCTCGTCAAGTAAGTCAGGGAGCAAGACAACGAAGAGTGTTTCCAAACTTTGTCCTCTCCTACGGCCGGCCTCTGCTTCAGTCCGCGGATGTTGATAGCCATTCAGCGATATCCTCATTTTTATTTCTTGACAAAAGCTTGTCATCATTTATAAGTCATGCATAATTGCCTCTTTAGTCATCACAATTAATGAACCAATTTGCTAATTTCTTGCCTTTCTTAGGGAGGGGCGTGCCGCCCTAGTGACGTCATTCGGCGTCTTCAAGTACATGGCTATCTACAGTATGATCCAATTCACATCCGTCATCATTCTGAACTCTGTAAGTTTTGTCGATTATTTTTGTTAATGTAAAATTGTGAATTTGACCGACATTTTTCAAATATTTGCTCCGTTTTTGCCTTTTTTTCTATTGTAGGCTATCATTGCTGTTTTTGTATTCACATGTAATTGATGCCGCATGACAGCTTTGGTTAGGCCTACATGGATATGTAGCCGGTTTAAGGGAAACAAAAATGCCTTTCGTGAAATATTTAGTTATTTTTTTTGTCTTTTATATATACTTGACTGACTCCTCTTTGTTCATTTACTTTGACTGCTCAGGTGGATGGTTTTCCAAGCGATGCCATGTTCATGTACTGGGATATCGCCATTACCACGTCAGTGGCGCTGTTGGGTAAGTTTCATCCGTTCATGATTTCGGAACCGGGAAGGTGTTCTCGTTTTTGCAAGTGGTCATTGTTAATGTGCATTGGGCGGACAAAGTAATTATTGATGATGATCGACAGGCTCTTATTAGTCACTGTATATGTAAACAGCCTGAGATCTTGGCTGCGTCATTTATTTGAAATTTCTGAGCGAGCGGAGTTGCAATCAAGTCAATGGGCCTTATTCTCGAGTCGGCCATATTGAATTGAAAGTGAGGTAAAATCTTCATTTTTGGAACTTGCGAAGAGAAATGAAAGCAAGTAAATTACTGATTAATTCAAGAATGCTTCAATGACTAAATTAAAATTTGTAATTAAACATTCCCTAATGTTTTAAGCCAGATTAAAAAAAAGACAGTAAAATAAGGCTGCATTAATAGTCTGGCGCCATCCCATTCAACAGTTAACAATTTATGCAATACATTGAGGGAACTCGACAAAAATGGCTACCTCTTGAATAAGGTCCATTCACAAAGCATTTCATAAGCGAGGTCACAATTAACGGGACTAGGGATGGAAAATCACAGACGAATGTCTGTTTCACATCTCATTTGAATAGTGCGATTTCATTTGAGATCGGATGACCTATGATTGAATTTGTCATGACTTACAGGATTATAGCACTGCCGGACTGTTTTTTTCCCTCTGCGGAAATCGTTAATGAAGTACATTTACTAGTTGGCCTGAAGGTTTGGGATAATTTTGGTAAACAGAAAAGAATATACCCATACTTCAAAGAGCGCCCTCATATTGTGACCATCTTATCTCAAAAAGGCTAATGGAGAAGGCGTCCAGACGTTTAAGAAGAGGCATTGTTTAAAACGATGGTATAAATTATATAACGAAGAGTCGTTTATTTCAACTCTTGGTGGCGCTCTTGCGGATCCCATTAATTCAATTTGTTATTTGTTCCGGCAGTCGCACGCAACGAGGCCTACCACGCCATCGTCAAGCGCAAGCCGCAGGCCAACCTGACGGACCCTTCTATCCTCTTCTCCGTCTTTGGTCACATTCTGCTGCAGATTCTCGTCCAGGTGGTGGCTTACGTCATGCTGACCGCGCAGCCCTGGTGAGTCTGATCAAAGAACAAGACGTTAGAGAGACGGTCATAACAGTGAAAAATTTAACTATATGGCTGCGTCCGAAATTGTCGGCTACGGCTTTGAATTACACACGCGTCTATGGAGTCAGCTGGCCGTAGTTGAGCAATTCGGACACGAACTGACTAACAATGGCCTCATTGCAGAACTATGTTCTTATGCTGCTAAAATACAAAACACAGACAGCAACTTCAGTTACAATTCCACACGCTGGGGCAAAGACCCGTCGATTTGTTTTTGGTGCACACTATTTAGGTGAAGGCCTATTCCGTCCTTTGCTGTTGTAAGCACATTGCCACCTACACCTATCCGGGCTGCACAGAACTCATGGTACAGCCGGTTGGGATAGAAGCTTCGACGTAGTTTTTCTGATAGTTCTTTACTCAAAGTAAAGCCCAAGCTTTCTATTGTAGCATATCTCGAGGTTATCTGATTTCTACTGAGAAAACTAACACGCCATGTGAGTCTTCGTAGGTTATAATTCACCGCAGTTTCATTTACTTGTCCTTTTATGTTTGGATAGCAACGTAAACAATATATATTATAAAAAGATTTTGTTCTCCCATTCAGGTTTACGCCACTAGTTCCCAAAGAGGACAGCATCGTGAATTACTTCAACTTCGAGGCCACTACCATGTTCCTTATCTCATCATTCCAGTACATCGTGGTCTCCTTCCTGTTCTCAAAGGGACCGCCCTACCGAAAGCCGATTTATACCAACAGTAAGACGTTCATCTAATGATGCACGTGGTGAAGGTGGTGGTGAAAGTAATGGTAAAAATGGAGAGGGTGATGGTGGGGATGGTGGTAATCTTGAGATGGTTGTGATGGTGGTGATTATGATGGAGGTGAATGTGGTGAAGTTGAAATTGTGGTGATGATGTTGATTGTGGTGATTATGTTGATTGTGGTGGTGATGTTGATTGTGGTGATTTTATGTTGATACTGGTGATGGTTTTGATTTAGGTGATGATGTTGATTGTGGTGATGATGTGATTATGGTGATGATGTTGGTCACGGTGATGATGTTGATTATGGTGATGATGTTGATTGTGGTGATGATGTTGATTGTGGTGATGATGTTGATTGCGGTGATGATGTTGATTGTGGTGATGATGTTGATTGCGGTGATGATGTTGATTGTGGTGATGATATGTTGATTGTGGTGATAATGTTGATTGTGGTGATGATGTTGATTGTGGTGATGATGTTGATTGCGGTGATGATGTTGATTGTGGTGATGATGTTGATTGTGGTGATGATGATGATTGCGGTGATGATGTTGATGATTGATGATTGTAATGAGGCTGGCGATGGTGGTGTAATGAGGTCAAGATGGTGACAATGGTACTTGAACCTTTAGTCAAAATCCCATTCAAGTGCATGCACAACATTTTTTAGTCAAAATCCCATTCAAGTGCATGCACAACAGTCATATGTTTAAAAAAATGTCGGTGAAGGGCAAAACCTAATTTGATTTATATCACCCCGACGCAAAAATTCCATCTTATAAAAGTCATATGACCCGTTAGTAATAGTTTGTATTGAAAAATCTATATATAACAAAGTGTTGTCAATTTTCTTATCATCGTTTCAGTTCTTTTCACCATTGATCTGATCGTGCTGCTCTTGTTCACCACTTTCCTGCTCATGGTGTATGTTCCAGAAATATACGGTTTTTTTAATGTAAGTACTTGATGTCAATCAGTCCAAGATTATTAATTCGTTAGTGCAAAACCACGCCAAAACCATATTTTTTTCCCCACCAGATTATTGTCTTAATGTTTTCCGTTTCCGGTTATATATTAAACTTTCCCTTTTTTTCGTCGACAGTTGAAGAAAGTCCCGCTTGATTTCCGATGTATGATCCTTGGGTTGGCCGTAGCGTACTTCCTGGCGGCCTTTCTACTCGAGGTGAGTTTGCCTTACAGCTCAGCAAAGCCGTCAGATCATATGTGATGCGATCAAGCTAAATGAGTCGTTTGTCGACCCGGGTCATTTTTTCAGATTTGAAAAGAGCACAATCTCAGCATTACTGCTGTGAAAACCGCATGCTTGTACCATCTTTACATCAAAAATTATGGAAGTCGGAACACCACGAGATGTGATGAAGTGGTCCTATTTTGGCCTGAATCTCCAAAGAAAATTCCTGACAAACGATTCATTTAGCCTGATATGTTTCAAGCTACGAATTGGGGTTTTCTTGATCGTTTGCATTTTGTTATACTATTTGAAACACCACCCTGATGTCAAATCAAACTGATCCCTCTTCTTTCGCCGACCTTGCAGAATTACATTGCTGAGAGCGGCTGGGTTAAGCGTCTAATTACTTGCCGAAGGTGCCGCAATATCACCTTGCACAAGCACGACCAGGTCGAGCAGGAGCTGCTGGCTGACCCGTCGTGGCCTCCGCTCTCCAGCCGCCTCCCCGCCCGCACCAACGGCAAATGCATGGACGAGGCATCAGTGTCTCCCAAGTTCGCCGGGAAAACGGCTGACGAAGGCAATGTAGAGACCCCAGTCTGATCGGAGAGTACCACAAGATATTACGATAAACCAGTATTGCGGTTGGGGCCAGTCGCTGTGCGACTGGCCCTATTTCCAGCCGCGACTTTATTACCAGAATAACGTGTGGACCAGTCTCGGTATGTTTTTGTTACTTTTGTACTGTTTCAGTGTTTGATAAATAGAAACTCCCGTCCTTACATTGACACCTCGGGGAGAATTGCCAGTTGTATAGTGAGCATGACTACAGTATATTGTGCTTGATATCCTCTGATTGTATGAAATCGAATTATTCGCAAACTTTGTTGATAAACTATATAACAATACCACAAAACGGGTTATTCAAAACTTGCTCAATGCTTCAAAGGCTTCAGTTTTTCGTTGTACAGCATTCAAAATGAAATGTTGAGTAAAGTCTCGAGTTGACAGAGTGACCGTCAGAATTGGGGGCTAAAGTTTTGCCGTCGTGCATCTTTTTATTGAAGTATCTGTTCACTCGACGTGACGAGTAGCGCCCCATGTGTTTTTGCTGACGCAGATTCAGCAAAATGTGCAGTCTTAAAATTTGCTAGTGTTTTGTAAATAATTCAAAATGAACGCGTAACAACCAACCAAATTGTACCGTGAATAAATTTGACAGAAATAACACCCACTGTCGGTGTTAACTTCAGAACATAAGCATGACTGTTTCACTACGTAACAGGTGCTTGCTGCCACCAAGAGGCCACAAGCCTCTCAGTAAAAGACTCGGATCCATATTGCTGCATCATTTCATTCGTTCTTAAAATGAAAGTCCCCTTGGGGTAGCCTGCTCTTGTTTTGCTATCTTGCCTTACATGTACTTTGGGGTCAAACTTAAAAAAAGGTTTGGTCTTTGGTTCGAAGAACAAGAACAAAAGGGAAAAGAGACAAATACGCACTATTATCAATTTTATCTTTACTTCCTATTCGGCCACTTCTGCATGCATATTTGCATGAACAAGGATAAAGCCACTCATGGTAGAGGGCTACAACTTACAAGAGAAATACAAATTGAGTGCTCAGGAAAACTGAAATTAATAACAGACGTTCCTGTTGAAACAGGAAAGATCATTATGTAGTATAGAGTGAAACAAACCAAACAAAATATGTTTTTGTTAGTTACTAACGTGTTTTTAACGTTTCCACACCAAGGATTAAAGCCTTCATAGCGATGATTAACTTTAACATTATACAATGGTGACTGTTGTCAAGGCTTTAGCAATATAATCATTTACAGTTTGTGTGTTTGTCATGAAAATGTTAGTGATCGTGAGAGGAATGTATTGAAGCTTTGGTATTACGTAGCACCTGGATATATTTGTCTGTTTTCTTCACCAATGGCATGTACCCTTTCCCTTTACCATCTTAAGATGTAAAAAATGAAAATGTGTAATTCCTGGTTCTTCCCGCCCTTCCAATTTCCAGGTATGAGAGGGAAGGGATAGTTTTGTAGTTAAACAATGTATTCGAGGCTAAAACTGGTTCTTTTCACTGATGTTTACCGAAACATTTATTTGGAAACTTGAAAAAAAAATAACAAAGTTCAAAGAGATAGAGTTCTTTTGAGAAAATATGAACTGACTGTTTAAGCGAAGTCTACGTGCGTCTTGATTTCATGAGAGTCGGTTAAATGGATACGTATTGCGTGTATCTAAAAGATACTCGGTTACACACCTATGTTCCGACACACCTATGTTCCGACACACCTATGTTCCGACACACCTATGTTCCGACACACCTATGTTCCGACACACCTATGTTCCGACACACCTATGTTCCGACACCACATATTCCTATCCCTTACCCTAACCCTGACGGGAGTAACACACTCTTATGTGCGGGTTGTCGGAGATAGGGGTGTCGGAACATAGAGCAGTCACCAACCCCCCCCCCCCCCAAACCCCCCCCCCCAAAAAAAAAACACACCAAAAACACGATCGACTCCCGTGTCATTAGCGTTCCCGATCGCGCCATTGATCAAGTTCACGAGAGTTAGACGTTTGAAACAGCAGCGACTACGTTGAAAGATTGACTGTAATACTCGTTTGAAATGACTTCTGAGTGTAATCAAGGAAAAGTGAACACGCAATGTTCTCCTACCAAACTTGGTTCGACACTTATGCTTTGTTTGGTTAGACACGGCTCTTGAACGTCATGCAGTCTGAAACGGATGTAAGGTTTCTGCTCTGACAAAAAAAGCTGTCTTTGACTTTGTAATTAATCCGTTTTTTTTTTTCGCACAGTGTGCTGCATCGCAAACACAGCTATGTACATATAAATAATGTAACCGTTTTAGTTTATGTATAAAGAAAAAAAATTAGATCGCCTATAAAACAACTCCATGTAGATTCGTCACTTCCAGAATATTGTATGTAATGAATAAAATGTAAAAAGAAAGAAAGAAAAACAACATGTATAGAGGTGTGTGAATGTAGAAGAATCGTGGTGTGTGTGATGTCCATGGTTCAGGGCCACTTATTCGTCATGATCACCCTAAAAGTAAAAGTATATATCCTGTAATATGAATGTGTAATGATAATAATAATTATATAGCCTATGTACTATGCAATTTATATAGCATAGCTCAAGTATTATGTAATTTTTATGTAAAATGTATCAGTAGGAAAAACTATAACTATAATCATTAACAGTTACTATGTAAAATTTGTGAAACAAATTTGTGAACCTTTTGTAATTTTCGTACCTCCATCTACAAATTGTGTACGTACTTAATAGTAGGAAACGTCGTCATATAGCAATAATTTGAAGAAAAAAATGGATATTTATACCTACAAATTGTGAAGGATTGTAAAACCAAAGTAAACAAAACCAAGGCGTAGTATCGTTCTTGAGACACGTCTACTTCACTAACTTTAATATCCTACGTCATCAGAATAAATAGCGGTGAACAATGCTGATGCGTGAATGCAGTCATGGCTGCGGAACCGGTTTAGTGTTAAATTTTGGACTCTGTGAAATACCGACTCATTAGTTGTATTGCGCATGCCTAAGTGAAGATAATTGGGACGGTGACAGGTCACGTGTGAGGGTAAGAGTCCATATAAGGTAAAACGGACCAGATATCATAGGAGGCCAAACTTCATATGACACCAGGTATAATTATTGGTAACACATGATGATTTTAATTGGCAACTTAGCGTTAATTGTGTTTTAATTGGATATTAGGCCCACTAGGTCATGCAGTCTTTTTCGTTTAAAATGACACTAATTCCACATGTAACTGAAAACGCTAAATACATGTACATGTACAAACACCAGACCTACATTTACAAAAATCATGTGGTCACCGTGTATTGTAACAGGTCCAAATGCTGCGTTCCCATGTACCGATTGTGGTTGTGAACTGGTGTCAGACTAGAAACTGTAATGCATTACCATGCAACGAAGTGCACACCAAATAAAGTGGAACATGTCAAAGAGGAAACATTGGGATTATACGTGCTTTCAATTGTGCTTTCATTTTCAGTTTGAAAATTGACGTGAACCAAGGAAGAATACATTTAATACGATTCAAAGAAAATAGGCCTAAGCGTTTAATTTAATCACGAAAACTTCATTCCGAATGTTAGTCTCTTTTGGCACTCTTTGTTGAGACGATAACTCAAGAACAACATATTGCATTGATTTCAATTTGCGAACGATTATTAACCATAACATTTGACGCAACCCGTTTGAAAATTGGCGTGAACCGTGGAAAAACACATTTAATATGATTTAAAGAATATAGGCCTAAGCGTTTCAATTACGAGCAATTCATTCCGAATTTTTGTCTCTTTTGACACTCTTTGATGAGATGATAACTCAAGAACAACATATTGCATTGGTTTGAAATTGCGAATGATTATTAACCATAACATTTGACACAACACGTTTGAAAATTGATGTAAACTGTGGAAGAATACATTTAATATGATTAAAGGAAAGAAGTGCTTAGAATTACGAAAAATTCATTTCTACAAGAGGGCGCCCTACACAACCGCTGGTCAGCACCGTAAACACTATTAAACAAAAATACAACACTCTATTGTTTGTTGAGACAATAACTCAAGAGCAACATATCACATTGGATTTAAATTGCGATCGATTATTTACCATAACATTTGTCACAATCTGTTCGAAAATTCATGTGAACCGTAAAAGAATACATTTAACATCGTTTAAAGAAAATAGGCCAAAGCGGTTAAATCACGAAAACTTCATTCCGAACTTTAGTCTCTTTTGACACACTTTGTGGAGACGATAACTCAAGAACAACATATTGCATTGGTTTCAAATAGCGAACGATTATTAACCATAACATTTGGCACAACCCGTTTGAAAATTGGCGTGAACCGTGGAAAAAATACATTTAATATGATTTACAGAAAATAGGCCTAAGCGTTTCAATTACGAGCAATTCATTCCGAATTCTAGTCTCTTTTGACACACTTTGTGGAGACGATAACTCAAGAACAACATATTGCATTGGTTTCAAATTGCGAACTAATATTAACCATAACATTTGACACATACTGTTTGAAAATTGACGTGAAATGTGGAAGAATATATTTAATATGATTTAAAGAAAATAGGCCTAAGCGGTTAAATCACGAAAACTTCATTCCGAATTTTAGTCTCTTTTGACACACTTTGTGGAGACGATAACTCAAGAACAACATATCACATTAGATTGAAATTGCGAACGATTATTTACTATAAAAAGCATTTGTCACATACCGTTTGAAAATTGACGTGAACCGCGGAAGAATACATTTACTATGATTTGAAGAAAATAGGCCTATTAAAGCGTTTAATTTAATTACTAAAACTTCACTCCGAATTTTATTCTCTTTTGACACTCTTTGTTGAGACGATAACTCAAGAACAACATAATGCATTGGATTGAAATTGCATCCGATTATTGACCATAAAATGTGACACAACCCGTTTGAAAATTGACGTGAACCGTGGAATAATACATTTAAAACGATTCAAAGAAAATAGGCCTAAGCGTTTAATTTAAGCACGAAAACTTCATTCCGAATTTTAGTCTCTTTAGACACTCTTTGCTGAGACGATAACTCAAGAACAACATATTGCATTGGTTTCAGATTGCGAACGATTATTAACCATAACATTTGACACAACACGTTTGAAAATTGGTTTGAACCGTGGAAGAATACATTTAATATGATTAAACGAAAGAAGTGCTTAGAATTACGAAAAATTCATTTCTTCAAGAGGGCGCCCTACACAACCGCTGGTCAGCACCGTAAACACTATTAAACAAAAATACAACACTCTAAGTTTGATGAGACGATAACTCAAGAACAACATATCACATTGGATTGAAATTGCGAACGATTATTTACCATAACATTTGTCACAACCCGTCCTAAAATTGGCGTGAAATGTGGAATTGATGATTTGATATGATTTATAGAAAATAGGCCTAAGCGGTTAAATCACGAAAACTTCATTCCGAATTTTAGTCTCTTTTGACACACTTTGTGGAGACGATAACTCAATGACAACATATCACATTGGATTGAAATTGCGAACGATTATTAACCATAACATTTGTCACAACCCGTTTGAAAATTGACGTGAACCGTGGAAGAATAGCCTAAGCGTTTAATTAAAGTACGAAAACTTCACTCCGAACTTTTATTCTCTTTGACACTCTTTGTTGAGACGATAACTCAAGAACAACATATTGCATTGGTTTGAAATTACGAACGGTTATTAATCATAACATTTGACACAATCCGTTTGAAAATTGGCGTGAACCGCCGAAGAATACGTTTGATTTGATTAAAGGAAAGAAGCGCTTAGAATTACGAAAAACTCATTCCGAATTTGATCTAAATTGAAAAAAATGAAGCACTCGTTTGGAGACAGTAACTCTAGAAAAACAATTTGTTCTGAAACAAAACTTTGTTCGATAATAAGTCGTGATGCAATGACAGAAAACGTGGAACTTTTCGACTGGAACCGTGATAACCAACGGCCAACAGTGCATGTGCCAGATTTTGCTACCCTCTATGATTTTTTCCTTAAAACGCCAAATCTGTCCATAATTCCAGTTAGAATGTGCTCTAGTGACCCTCAGGCATCTTCCCTGCAAGTTTCAAGTCATTTCATTTTTAGGCCAAAATTGAAAAAAAATTGCAAGGGGTTAGCCTTACTTTTTGATCAAATTTGGCCAAAAATTGACTTTTCTCCAAACAACTCAGGAATGTCTTTGGATGTAATAGAAACAACAATCGACCTTCAAACAGTTAACATATTGAAGATTTGGGCAAAAATCACCGACTTATTAAGAAAAATATTAATAATTTTCACTACTTTTGACCGAAATTATGGACTCTAATTTTCCTTAAAACGCCAAATCTGTTTAAAATTCCAGTTCGAATGTGCTTTAGAGACCCTCAGGCATCTTTCCAGCAAGTTTCAAGCAATTTCATTTTTCGACCAAAATTGAAAAAAATTGCAAGGGGTTAGCCTTACTTTTTGATCAAATTTGGCCTAAAATTGACTTTTCTCCAAACA